TCACCACCCCAGCTCATCCAATCATAAAGTGCTTTGCAATAATTCATAAAATGCAGACCTTTCTCTGAATGGCACCCAAGCCAAGCAGCCAACCTCCTGTGTCCAGAGTGCAGCAGGGCAGCCACTTGGCATGGAACCTGAAAGCAAGAGAAGATCACTTCAGATGTCTACTTCAGTGATTTCCAGCTTGCGGGGGCATTGGCCAGGTATGGTATATACACTCACCGGCCACTTTATTAGGTACTGCCCTTATTCTTCATGACATAGATTCAACAAGGTTTTGGAAACATTCCTGAGAGATTTTGTTCCATATTGACATGATAGCATCATGCAGTTGCTGCAGATTTGTTGGCTGTACATCCATGATGCGAATCTCCCATTCCACCACATCCCAAAGGTGCTCTATTGGATTGAGATCCGTGACTGTGGAGGCCATTGGAGTACAGTGAACTCATTGTCATGTTCAAGAAAGCAGTCTGAGATAATTGGAGCTTTGTGACATGGTGCATTATCCTGCTGGAAGTAACGATCAGATGATGGGTACACTGGGGATGGACACAACAACAATGTAGTCATAAAGGGTATGGACATGGTCAAGAAACAATACTCAGGTAGATGCCGTGGCATTTAAACAATTACACCACCACCACCACCAGCTTGAACCATTGAGTATTAAGGGGCCCAAAGTGTGCCAAGAAAATATCTCCACCACAGCATTACACCACCACCACCACCAGCCTGAACCATTGATACAAGGCAGGATGGATCCATTTTTCATGTTGTTTACGTTACACCACCATTACACCACCACCACCACCAGCCTGAACCATTTCATGTTTTCATGTTTACGTCAAATTCTGACCCTACCATCTGAAAGTTGCAGCTGAAATCGAGACTCATCAGACTAGGCAACATTTTTCCAATCTTCTTTTGTCCAATTTTGGTGAGCCTGTGCGAATTGTAGCCTGCTTTTCCTGTTCTTAGCTAACAATAGTGATGGGTTATATGTCTGAGTCGAACGTTAGTTCAATTCAAACATCAAACACATGAACGGTAAGGGCGTTTGGTGGGCTGTTCGTGTGCCGTGCCTCTCAATGCACTGCGCCCTGACAGTGCATTGTGATTGGCTAAGCAATGAACCTGACCACAGGTGGTAACCCCACCCCCTTGTGACGTCATCACAGTATTTAAGAACTGTCATCACAGCTGTCAGACAACGGGAGCCAGCATCGAGAGCAGAGCATTTTATTTTCTATTTTCCGGTCGACAGTGGCAGCGGGCATCGTGACTGATATTGGATCTACTTTGGGGGGACATGTTTTTATTATTGTTTTTAATAAAGGACTTGTAAAGAAAACTGTCTACTGTCATTTTTTACACTACATTTTTTTCTTGTGAATGAGTAGTGATATCATGTACCCCCTACTCATTCACATAGGAGGGGGGCCGGGATCTGGGGGTCCCCTTGTTAAAGGGGGCTTCCAGATTCCGATAAGTCCCCCACCCGCAAACCCCCACAGCTACCGGCCACAGTTGTGGGGAAGAGGCCCTTTTCCCTATCAACATGGGGACAAGGTGCTTTGGGGGGAGCCCCTCCTGCCTCAAAGCACCCCTCCCCATGTTGATAGCATGTGTTCTGGTACAGTTCAGGAGGAGCGTGGTGCTCGCTCATCCCCCCCCCCCCCTTTTCTGACCTTCCGGGCTGTATGTTCGGATAAGGGTTTGGTATGGATTTTGGGGGTGCCCCCACAACATTTTTAACTCATATGGATCTATATGTCTCCCTATTGATGAATTATAATCGTACATACTGATACTTACAATATCCATGTATAAAAAGACTATGTGCAAGATAAACTCCTTCAGGATCCTCCACAGTTTCAGGTGAGGTGTAAAATGTTTGGAGAAGAAAGGCTAATTTTTTAGGGTGAAGCAGTGAGCTCATCAGTCTGCTGTTTTTCCTTTCACTGTCCAGCTGCAGTTTGGGGGAGGGACATGGCTTGTAATGATCACTAAAAAGATAAGTCCACATTTCTGATCATGTTTCATGTTACGCCTATTTAGGGTGTAAGATAAAACATGGTCACAGTGTGCAACTCCCCACCCCCAAACCGCCAACCCTCCCCCCTCTTACAGAATCCAGGGCTTTTTTCTCCATGCTGGCCCTGCTATTATTTGAATTTGGCATGACCATGCATGGTTCCACAGTGCATTTCCATTTTTAGTGTGTACCATTAAACACTGGCACATTGTGCAGCCCCCATCCACAAATCGCCAACCCTTTCCCCCCTTACAGAATCCAAGGGTTTTTGTCCCTGCTGGCCCCTGCCATTATTTGAATTTGGAGTGGCTGTGCATGATTCCACAATGTTTTTCCCTTTTTAGGGTGTACCATGTACCATGAAAGAAAGGTTTCTTCACAGTAAGAGTTGTGAAAATGTGGAATAGACTTCCTCAAGAGTTGGTTCTGGCCAGCTTAGTGGATCGCTTTAAAAAAGTCCTGGATTCTTTCCTAGATACACAGAATATAACTGGATACTAATATTTATAGGTAAAGTTAATCCAGGGAATATCCGATTGCCTCTCGGGGGATCAGGAAGGAATTTTTTTCCCCTGCAAGAGCAAATTGGATCATGCTTTGCTGGTTTTTTTGCCTTCCTCTGGATCAACTCTGGGTGTAGGATTATAACTTTTTTTCTTTTTTGTTTCATGGTTGAACTGGATGGACTTTTGCCTTTTTTCAGCCAGACTAACTATGTAACATTGTCACAGTGTGCCGACCCCATCACCAAACTGCCAACGCTTTCCCCTCTTACATAATCCAGGGGGTTTTCTACGTGCCTGCTCCTGCCAATATTTGAATTTTCCGTGACTGTGCATGGTTCCACAATGCTTTGCACTTTTCAGGTGTAACATCAAGTATGGTCACAGTGTACAGATCCCCACCCCAAACTGCCAACCCTTTCCCCTCTTACAGAATCCAAGAATTTTTCTCCCTGCCAGCTTCTGCCATTATTTGAACTTGGCGTGACTGTGCGTGGCTCCACCTGCCCAGCTTTGTCATTCATTCACTGCAAACTGTAAACAAAAAAACTACAATTCCCATCTTCCATCACAGCAGAGGAACTCACTCTCAATGCAGCACAAGTATGGAGATCATTGATGGTTTGGAACTCTGTATGGACCTGCAGCTGGAGGAATAGTCTGCAAGAGCCAGAACCTTGCACTTGCAGTCCAGGGATCAAGCTTGCAATGCTTTGCAGATTTCAATTAAAAAAAAAAAAAAAAACTCATTTTTTAGCATCATATAGATGGATTTCTTTTCTTCTTTTCTTTTTTTTTTTTTGCAAAAGGTGGACTTTTGCTATTTTAAAAAAATGTACCTTTTGTATCTTTTAAAAGCTAACATGCTACACTTACTTGTTCTGTGCAATGGTTCTGCACAGAGCAGCGTCAATCCTCCTCTTCTTGGGTCCTCCCGTGGCATGCCCCATGAGCAAGCTGTTTGTTGTGGGGGCATTCGTGCATGCTCACTCTCAGGCTGGCTCTGTGTGTCCATTGGCACACAGACCTCAGCTCAGCCCCACCCCCCCGATCCCTTCTTACTGGCTGTGATTGAGTGCAGCCGAAGCCAATGGCTTCCACTGCTGTCTTTGACCCAGTAAGGAGGGAGAGAATCAGGAAAGCTGCTGCTCTCGTGCATATTGCTGGGTTAAGAGCGGGCTTAAGTAAGTATTGGCGAGAGGCACACACAAAAGGTTTTTTTACCCTCATCCACAGAATTCATGAAGGTAAATAAATAAACCTCATGCCTTTACAACCCCTAAAGTACACAATGTGACCATGTTTCTACCCCACCAGACAGGACTGTGCTATGTAGCAGAGCTGTTTAAATCTTAGGACTGGATGGATAGAAATACAAATCATTTGGTAGGTAAACCATCTCCCTTATATGTATTTCACCTGTGTATTTAACTGGTTTGCTGGAGCTTTAATCACTGAATATTTACTCAAAGGTGAAGTTACATTTCAACAGCCTGGAGCCCTCTCAGGGCTATGGGTCATGTAGGACCTTGTACCTCTGCTGCCCCTGTTAATGCACCACTGCCTGCAGACATCATCTGGGTTCAAGAGAAAAGGAAAATAAGGACATATTTTTGCCATAACTAAGCCAGATCGACAATCCGCTAACATATTTTTTTTCACCATGTTGCTTGGCTACACAAGAATTAATAAAGGCTTTCAGAGGACACTTCAATGATCTCTTCCATGCCGCAATACTGAACTATTGTTGGATTCATTGTACAAGGTTCCGGAAAAAAAGAGAAGTTTTATATTTCAAATACATCTTAAAAGTCTTAAATAATCCAGCTGATGACCTTTCAGAAAAATCAATGCGTTGTAGAACAATTAATATTCAGTTTTTCTAATTACCTTCTGTATTTTCATAGGAAGATTATGGGTTTCAAATTGATGTACAAAAGGTTATTCTCTGATGTACAATGATTAAAATGTTCTGCTACATCATAATGAATATCAGAATTATTTCTTTGTGAAATGATTTTTTTTTTTACTTGATTGTTCCCTTGTGGGCTACTTTACAAATAGATGACGGGAAAGGCATTTGTTTTTATTTGAAGTAAAATTAAAGTAGATTTAGGAGCGTATTTAAAAGGAGTAGGTGCCTGTAGACTCAAGGCTTGTCTATATTCACCAGCAGACTCCAGTCATTCATTCGCATTTAGCCCGCACGTTCAAGGAAGATAAATAGTGCCCCGGTGGAGAGGGTGAACGCAAAGAGGATTTGCAGGATGTTGAATATGTGGTTAGTGCATGAGATGGAGCGAGTTTGATGATGGGAATCAATGGTTTGCCCTCTCCAAAAGGGTGAATGTCAAAATCAAATTGGGTCCCACAGTTTAAACATTTGCTTTATTATAAATATTACAAAGGGTTTATACACAGGGACTAAAATAGGCGCTTTATATTCCTAGTGTAAATCTCCCGGTGCTTTCCTTCCTACTCCAGGGGAGCCGGCTGTGCCGCGTACAGCTTGCCATTCAAGCAATGGCTTATGAGGTCATACTGCTGATGCTTTATTGCATCAACATTTACCCACGCATGCACATTGATGGCTTTTCAGCTATTTACTGAAAGTGTTAGTAAACCTTGCATTCAGTATATCTGGTCTCCTCGGACCCTGCATCCACTATATCTGGTCTCCCCAGACCCTGCATTCACTATATATGGTCTCCCCAGACCCTGCATTCACTATATCTGGTCTCCCCGGACCCTGCATTCACTATATCTGGTCTCCCTGAACCCTGCATTCACTATATCTGGTCTCCCCGGACCCTGCACTCACTATATCTGGTCTCCCCGGACCCTGCATTCACTATATCTGTTCTCCCAGGACCCTGCATTCACTATATCTGGTCTCCCCGGACCCTGAATTCACTATATCTGGTCTCCCTGGACCCTACTGAGGTTGGCCTCTCTTGTATCTCCAGCCCACACTCTACTGGAATGGTGCCAAGGGATAGGAGACCTGGTGTCACATACCTGCTAGCATACTGAGGTTGGCCTCTCTTGTATCTCCAGCCCGCACTCTACTGGAAGTGAGACAGAAGGTGCCAAGGGATAGGAGGAACACAAGTTCCGGTAGATGTGGATAGTAGAGCCTTGGACTGGAGGTGCAGGTCCAGTATATCATTTGGTCAGGAACAGTAGCACAGCAAGAAGAACCAACAAAGGTTAAAGGGTAACTCTGGTTGCACTGTAGATTCAGAAGACAGAGTCCACTTATGCTCCCCGACAGGAACACACAAGAAGGACTGGAGCCAAGGCCAAGTGCAGCTGGTGCAGGCACTCAGTAATAGTGTGGAGCCACAATTAGAGGGAAACCAAGGTCACCAAAGAGCAGGCAACAAAATATAGAATAGTAAAAACAGAGGCAAGATCATGGACAGAATCGAGGTCAGGGACTTGTAAGCAGCGATTCAAGCAGAAACCAAGATCAGGTCAGCAGCAAGTTGGGTCAGTATCAGGAATCATACATGGCAATCAAGGCACAGCATACATCAGCATGGACACTGGATTAAGGCATCCTTTGAACAGGCCATCAAGTGCCAACATTGACTGTGGACATGCTCCTGCATGTGTGCGCATGGCCATGCTCATTCCTGCACATGCCTGTGCACATTACAAAGGACTTCTCTGACACTTGGAGTACAACTGAAGGCTTCTGAAGGCAATGCTGTTGTAAATCACCCATGATGTCTAGAGAAGGATGGCACCATAGGTGCTTCAGATCAGGTACACAAAATGAGGCGGATGTACTAAAAGCAGTGGTGAATCTTTACTCAAAAAGTATGTGAATATTTACTTATTATCCAATCGTGTGAAAATCAAATTCCTGTTCACTTTGAATAACCAGTCATTCGCAGGTGCTTTTCGCACAATTTTTGAATAAGGAATCCCAACTCCTTTACTAACCATAATACAAGAAATTAAAAAGACAATGGCGTCATTTCTTATCACTAAACTTTATTTATTTCTTAAGTTGCTTCCTGGTTTCTGACCTAGGCTAAAATTATGTCACACATCCCAGGAGTCTTCATTAACATTTTGTTTTCTTTCATCTTGAGGAGGGAAGAAGGGTCTTTCTCAGCCAAACATGTCCTCCTGCCTGCATGCCTGATCTAAGGGCAAATGCATTCCAGGAGGTAAATGCTACACAAATCAATTGCCCTTACTCAAGATGGATAAAAATATAAGGGGGGGGGGGGTTCAAGGTGATTTCTCAAAAAAATAAGCATGGAGACATGGATGGTTGAGAGAGTTTGCTTTAAATATTAAAAATTTGATTGATTAGCATTTTCAGTTTGTGGAAGAGGAAGGGGTGGGGGGGTGTTTTGTACTGTTTTGTTTTGAAGAGTGTAAGTGAACATTCTCATCTTAGGATAAGTAGGGTGTTACTGACAAGATCGCCAGGTGAAAATAAAGTAAAACCAAGGTAGCCACCACATTTAAGAAATGGTATGCATAATTGCCTACTGTCCCGATTTGTCCGGGATACTTGCTGATTTTCAAGCCCTGCCCGACACAACCTTGTCCCGGGCTCCATCGCAGAAATCAAGGCTGATAACGGAAAGTCAAGAATCAGAGATATTTGGGGAAAGCAGAAGCTCTGTGTGTTCACCACAGTACTGCTGGGTGGGGTATCCGTGAACACATGCTGGGAACAGATCCCTCCCCTACCTTCTTCCCCCAGCAATGATTAGGCGGCTATTGGGGACTTACTCCTTTGATAATATCTCTGAGATTGAGTCTGCTGAACGGGTCGCAGTGATTGGGCGAGGGGATGTGGCCGGCTCTGATGATCACACCCGTTCTACCTTGTGGTGAGGGGAACATGTCTGAGAAGCTCAGTCAGGCTTCAGAGAGGTGAGAGAGCAGTCGGAGAAATGTGCTATGGTGGCCCAGAAAGCATATTCAAGTGTAGATTACTAATAGATCCCTGAAGGTTGCTCATGCATGATTAACTCTACCTTTCATTGCTAGAAATGTACGATTAACTATTTATTTGCTAGCAGATGGTGAAGATGCATGATTGACCCTTTAATGACTAGATTAAAGGGTTAAAAGAGAAGTATGCTTCTTTTATTTCTTCCAAATTATACTTACCTAGGTGGATGCAACATCGGTCCGATTTTTTTTTTTTTTTTCTTTAAGTCCGCAAACGTGCAACTATAATGAAAAACCCGTAAGTGTTCACAAAAAAAGTGCAAGTGCAAAACACCACACGAAAAAGTGCACTTAGGGGTGTGCTTTGTCCTTCCCCCAAAGGGGATGGACCACTACCCTGATCCCCCGGGGCACGAAGCTCCTGACAGGGACAAGGTTCCCATTTGGTCCTCCTGGTCAAAAGGCCTGGTGGACCACCGTTCCTTATGTCCAGCCAAAGCCAGACATCCAGTACTTGGTCAGGGGGCTCTCCCGGAGAGAAAACCCCCTAGGGATCAGGGGAGGAAGGAACCAAAAGACCACACATCCTCCCCCTAGACTTCAGGGAAGGCCCGAGGACCCACACCCTCCATCCTGTGAAAAACACACACAAAAGCAGAAAAAAGTGACAAACCGTGGGAGTGATTAAATTAAATAAATAGAAAATAAAAAAGTGGTACCGTGCCAAATTGTGCACAGACCAGGCCCTGAGGCCTGTAGCAAAAATTGCCCTGAACTTAGCCAAAAGGCCTGGTCCTTAGGGCGCTGTGCAAAAAGAGTGTAAAAACAGTGACCTTGTGCCATCTTCACACAGTGGGGTCCCACACCCAGGTGTTACTAGTGGCACCCCTGAGGGCGTCTACTCAGGGGGCACTGAGTTTGCAGACTTTCTGCCTTCTCAGCCCCTGGCCAGACCAGGTAGATCCGTCCAAATCAGGAGGTACTGGGTCCTTCCGGTCTCCTCGGGGGAATTACTCCCAGGACCCCAGCTTAACTCGTGGGTGTCCCGGTTTCTGTCCCCCCGGTACTAGCCGTCCAGACCCCCATCATACCAGTGAGGGTACAATACAACAGCCATCCCCGCAAAGCTAGAATGGCCGGGAGCACCCCCACTGGACACTGATAAGAACAGATTTTTTTTTTTTTTTTTTTTTTAAGTCGGCCTGGTGGACCACCGTTCCTTATGCCCAGCCGAAGCCGGACATCCAGTACTAGGCGAGGGGGTTCTCCCGAAGAGAAAACCCCCTAGGGATCAGGGGAGGAAGGAACCGTATGGCCACACATCCTCCCCCTAGACTTCAGGTAAGGCCCGAGGACCCACACCCTCCATCCGTGAAAAACACACACATAAGAACAGAAAAAGTGACAAAACGTGGGAGTGGTAAATAAATAGAAAATAAAAAAAAGTGGTACCGTGCCTAATAGTGCACAGACCAGGCCCTGAGGCCTGTAGCAAAAATTGCCCCGGACTTAGCCAAAAGACCTGGTCCTTAGGGCGCTGTGCAAAAAGAAGTGAAAAACAGTGGCCATGTGTCATCTTCACACCGTGGGGTCCCACACCCAAGTGTTACTAGTGACACCCCTGAGAGCGTCTTCCCCAGGGGGCACTGAGTTTGCGGACTTTTTGCGTCCCCAGCCTCCGGCCAGACCAAGGTAGCATGTTCAGATCAGGAGGTACTGGGTCTTTCCAGTCTCCCCAGAGGAATTACTCCCAAGGCCCCAGAACGAATCATGGCGCTCCCTGGTTTCTGTCCCTCCGGTACTAGCCTTCCGGACCCCCATCATACCAGTGAGGGGTACTATACAACAACCATCCCCGTAAACTAGAATGGTCGGGAGCACCCCCACTGGACACTGATACAGTTGTGACCAAAATTATTCAACCCCCAATGCTGTAAAGGGGTTTAGGGACTATAGTGTACATTTGGAATTGTATTCAGAATCAAATCCTACAAGGACGTTGTAACTACCCAAATGCAACTAAAATGACATCAATTGTTTATGTAATACAGTAGTAAATGGTTCTTATGTGGTTTCTTCATTGCCACAATTATTCAACCCCCTTAAAGACTACCACTCTGAAGAACAGAGGTTCATACAGGTGCTTTCCATCAGGTATTGAAAACACCTGTGGATGTCACCGAGCAGCAATCAAGCATAATAAGCACCAATTAGGCAGCTTTAAAATGACTGTGATACTCAGCTCCTTCTAGACATTTACTGGTGTGGTTACAAACATGGTGAAGGCAAGAAGAAATGGTCCAGGAAGACAAGAGAAGAGGTGATTTCTCTTCACAGGAAGGGCAATGGCTATAAGAAGATTGCAAAGATGTTAAACATACCAAGAGACACCTTAGGAAGCATCATTCGCAAATTCAAGGCAAAGGGCACTGTTGAAACGCTACCTGGTCGTGGCAGAAAGAAGATGCTGACTTCGACTGCTGTGCGCTACCTGAAGCGTAGAGTGGAGAGAAGTCCCCGTGTGACTGCTGAGGAACTGAGAAAAGATTTGTCAGATGTGGGTACAGAAGTTTCAGCCCAGACAATAAGACGCACACTGCGTAATGAAGGCCTCCGTGCCAGAACTCCCAGGCGTACCCCCTTGCTGTCTCCAAAGAATAAGAAGAGTCGACTGCAGTATGCCAAAAGCCATGTGGACAAACCACAAAAGTTGTGGGATAGTGTTCTGTGGACTGATGAAACAAAATTAGAACTGTTTGGGCCCATGGATCAACGCTATGTTTGGAGGAGGAAGAACAAGGCCTATGATGAAAAGAACACCTTGCCTACTGTGAAGCATGGTGGAGGGTCAATCATGCTTTGGGGCTGTTTTGCTTCTGCAGGTACAGGGAAGCTTCAGCGTGTGCAAGGTACCATGAATTCTCTTCAGTACCAGGAGATATTGGATGGAAACGTGATGCAGTCCGTCACACACCTGAGGCTTGGGAGACGTTGGACCTTTCAACAGGACAATGAT